TCTCTCAAATCTTTCTACAGAAGCTTTAAAGTCCTTTGGACGTCGATATTCTTTCTTTCCTAAATTTAGGGAAGGTACCCAGTCTGGATTGAATTGATCGAAGTCCTTCGAAGGCTGTCCTTGGTGAAAATGACGACCGCACAATCTTTCTGTCTCGAGGATATTCTTCTCTGCAGTGTCGCCACGACTTACTGCACTGATCCACTTTTCCCTACGCTTTCTATTCAGTTCCTCGTATTCTTCGCCTTGGTTAGTGATGATTTTGGGTATCCAAAAGGATCTAAGACCTTTATGTTTGCCACTTTTGGATCCACATCCCCACACAATGCATAAAACCATAGTTAACTATCATACGTTTCCTCACACTAGCTCCTATTTTCGATCAATTTGATTACTGTCGAGGGACATCAACATGGCGGATAGCAACCGTTGTCAAGCAAAAGGTCACGTGGGTGAAAAGCAAGAATTGACTCACAGGCGTTTCAATGCTCTTAAACCATCGAACAAACCCTCTTGGAACTCTGTTAGGTCGTTGTTGCTAAGTTGCCTGTATAGGAGAAGAAAAGTTAAAAAGTTTACGTAATTATTAAGTTAATTTAAACTTACTTAATCAACTTTGATCAGTTTGAGTTACTGAAAAAACTCATTGGACCGATAGGCTCTCTAAGGCACAAAATATAGGAATTAACAAGTCCTGAGTTCAAAAGTAATTTGATGGGCATTAACACGACCCTTGTTTTAATTTTCCAACATGAAAAAGTTTCATAAGAGGCTTGTCTGTTGAGGCACTTAATTTTGGGGACCACTTTTTGTATCTCGTTAGATTTAGCCATTTTTCCTTCATGATCATTGATTGTAGGCAACCTTTATCAGTCTCTGTGTAGCACAGGTATCTAAGAGTTGAAAAATCCACTCAATGCAGTGGAATATACACTAACAGTGTGTGTTGACAATGCCTTTCGTTTGTATGATTTTATATACGACTTTCACCTACAGCCACTGCAGCCTAACCAATTGGGAAAATAAATCGCCTCGTAAATTCTTGATTGTTCCGTGTCCTGGTCCAATAAACACTTTTGATATAAACTTGATATATCTTGATATATATCAACACTTTCATTATGAGACACTTAACCCATCGAGGAGGTTTATTCATTCTATATTCATAATTCCGGTTAGTCTCCTCAGAGAACATGAGGCTACAAACGAGCCCTTATCAATAGCTCTTTTCATATTTGTCGTATTTGTCTTTTCATAACCTGTCACCCACTGAAAGAATTGTTTCATTTGACGTCGATATGGTGGCTACTAGAGACTAGAAATGAGTGTTGTGACACTTGTAATAGCTTTTAGTATAACTTCAGAGCTGAGCAAAGGGTTTCCAGCGATCTGATTGGTCGAGCGGTTCCTTATATGACGCTATATAAACCGCTCCACGCAGTTTATATAAAATGTTAAAATAAAATGTTAATAAATGTTGCTAAAATGTTATGATTTTAGACATTTCTCTGTTGTTAAGCCCTGAAATTATACTAATACAATTATTCGCCTCAGGTTCGGTGAATATTGTCGAATAATCCCCTCGACTTCGGCTCGGGGATTGTTCGAATATATTCACCGAACCTGAGGCGAATAATTGTTAAATATAAATGGACGAGCTTTCGCTTACAGCCACTGCAGCTTGACTAATTGGGAAAATACATCGCCTGGCAATTTCTTTATCTTGTTTCCGCTTAACCACCTGTAGGTTTTGAAAACTTTGTTTTACTATAGATGACAATGTTTAACTCCTATTCGCTTTTCACTGTGTACTATGCCCGATTGTTAGGGCTAACCGAGAGTAAAACTTCCTAACCGTGGGTTTGTTGACACAGGTTAAAATAGCGTTTTTCAAAGCGCGGTTAAAGAGCCGGTTAGTTAACCTCGTGTTAGACGAGGTTAACCCGAGGTTAGCAGCCCATAATATTTTTCCTGTACTGTTGCCATACTGAGCAAGTTGCGAGCCCCTGTGGTATCACACAAAACCCGTATGCGGAAGGCCATACAGAACAAAAGTGGTCGAATAATATTTTGTTGGCTGAGGAATAATTTTGTCCGTCGAGAAATATTATCGATGCTCCAGTGTAGTCGCAAATCCACAATTTATTTATAACGTCCAAAAAATCGAGATCACTTGCACGATTCGATTATGTAGGAGCTTTAGGGAATCCGCAGTCAGTCAATGCAAGCTAATGAAAACTACAAGAAAAACATATCGACTCATTTCTCCTCGTGTTTGCTCTGAGTCCACTATTCCTTACGTGAGGCACAGGCCTCCCAGCACTAGAACAAGAAATCTTTTTAAAATGAAATGTTCAATAAAAGGTAACAAAATTCTGCCCCCCCCAACATGTTAAAGGGCAAGTTCATAGTCAATCGTTTTTGTCTCGTAGACTTTCAGTTCACTGAGATTCTCCAGAATCTGATTCCTCTAGCAAATAAATCTTGATGATTGGCCTTCTGTATGTTGATCCTTTGGCCTCCCTTCTACACTCCTGACCTGTCCGTCGGGTCCAGGAAACACATTGGTTACAAGTCCGATTGGCCACTGATGTCGTGGGACATTATCATCGATAATAAGGACTAACTCTCCAATTTGCAAGTTCCTTTGTGCTTTGTGCCACTTCTGGCGTTCTTGTAGTGAGGAAATGTACTCCCTGAGCCAACGCTTCCAATAATGGTTAACCAGAAGCTGTGCCTGGCGCAATCGCTATCGACTAAACTTGTCGCTGTCATCGACCATTTCTGGAAGTAGATTCACTGTGGGACGGATGTTCAAGAAATGGCTGGGTGGGAGAGGCTCGTCGTCATTCAGACTTGACAAATTTCGTGTCAGTGGTCTGGAGTTAGCAATTCGTTCACCTTCAGTAAAAAATGTTTGGAGTGCCTCTTCGTTTATAAGGTCTTTACTAAGGATAGCCTTTAGGCTCCTATTCACAGATTTCCCAAGTCTTTCCCAAACTCCAGACATGTGCGATGCCCCTGGAGGGTGAAACACCCACTTACGGCCAGGGTGTGACAACTCTGAACCCACGTTCTCATTGTCAATTTGATCAATGACTTCTTTAATTTTCCGATCAGCCCCAACGAGGTTCGATCCGTTATCGGAGCGAAGCTCCCTCACATCGCTTCCCTGCAACCTTTCCTCTTCCTCTCTTCACGTAAAACGGGCCAAAATAGTCAGCTCCGGAACGTGTAAACGGTGGCTCGTGGGACGTAAGCCTAATCTTTGGTAATTCTGCCATTTCTTGAGTTATCTTAGGTGCCATTCGTTTCTTGCAGGATATGTACCTCCCAGTAATCTCCCTCATCGCTGCTCTTTGCTCTTCCTCTTACCACCCAGAGTTGTTCTCGGAGAGGGGACAGTACTTGCTCAACTCCAGAATGTCCATTTTTCTCGCGTACCTAGCGTATCAGGATCGTGGTGATTTGATGATTCTTCGGCAGGATCATAGGGTTCATAGCATCAGGAGATATGGGCGCTCTCGAAATTCTACTACCGACTCTCAATACACTGTTATTCATAATTGTTGGTTTAAGCTTCCCAATATGGTTTGACGCCTTCACTTGTCTCACAGCTTTGAGATCCTTTATCTCTTGCGGAAAGACGCTCTACTGTACAAAGTTGACAACTTCCCTCTTAGATTTCTCAATTTCTTCGTGACTGATACGCCGCGTGATTTCGTATGTGTTTGTCTCTTCTTTCTTCTTTCTTGAGGGCCACTTGATCCACTGTAGAAACTTCAGTAACCAGGCAAATGTGCGAAGAAGAGCGATCCAGCTAGAGAATCGGGTCCGAAGGCAGTTCAAAGAAAGTGTCGGGTTAAACGGGGTCACGTACACTTCCTTCATTATCTCAAGCTTCTTTACTGCGATATTCTCAAACTTGGGTTCTGGGCAGTGATCCTCATTACTGTACAGGAAGGGTGGGCCTTTCAGCCAGCGCTCGTTCTTAAGAAATTCATTCATCCCAAGACCTCGACCGACATCATTGGCGGGGTTCAGTTTGCCAGGACAATGTCTCCACTGTTGTGGTGATGTGAGGTCCCTAATCTCCCCAATTCGATTAGCCACATAAGTTTGAAATCGCCTGTTCTTGTTGTAGATATACGTTAAAACGATGATGGAATCGGTCCAAAATACCATTTGTTCAAACTCAAACTTCAAGATCAACCCATGCTGCTAAAGGAGCTCCCTATAGTTCAAGACGGGGAATACTGACAGTTTTGAGTGGGGCATATCTCGACTTTCCAATTACGAACCCACATTCTACAGTTCCATCAGAGTAGGTAATTTGGAGGTATGTGGCGGTACCATATCCAACTTCGGACGCGTCGCAGAAGTGATGAAGCTGTAGAGTTGCTCCTTCATGGTCAGGACGACTAAAGTAACATCTGGGGACGCTTACGTTCGCCAGAAGACGTTGGTCATTTTTCCACTGCAACTATCTTTAGAGGAGTTCTCCTTCGAGAGTTTGATCCCACGCCCTTTGTAACCTCCACAGTTCTTGCATGTTTAGCCTCACAGACAACATTACGGGCGCACCGGGGTTCAGTGGGCCCACGACCGAGAAGACTGTCGATAGAACTCCTCTCGTGGTGTTATTTTTTTTAAACTCCAAGACCTTGAAACCAAACGTGTCCCAATCTATGCGCCACCGTGCCCCCAGTGTTCTATCGACGAGCAATTCATCAAGATTGACATCCAGACACGGGTCAGTTCTCTTTCCCAGAGGTATAGAAGCCCAAACCTTGTGGTTGTTGCTAACAAATTTCGTCAAATTGAATCCACCCTTAGCACAAAGTTTAATCATATTTTCCATCAGCGCAATTGCACTTTCCGGTGTTGGTACTGATTTCAAGAGGCCATCAACATACAATTTGTGTCTAAGAGTGGCTATAGTAACCGGATCAAAACTTCCTTCATTGTCATCAGCAGTTCTCAACAAGGCAGAGTTAGCTGAGCAGGGTGAGTCGGCTGCTCCGAATATGTGTACTGTTATCGTGTACTCTTGCAGTGTTTCGTCTATGCCTTCTCTCCACCACAGAAATCTTATTGAATCTTGGTTTTCTGGGCGAACCTTCACCTGGTGGAACATGCCTTAAATGTCTCTGACCAAAGCCAGATTCATCTCACGAAATCTCAACAAGACTCCAACCAACTTGCTCGTGTAATCAAGCTCTTGTAACAGATTCTTATTCAAGGATGTTCCTTGCATCAAAGACTATCCTTACTTTGTTGGGCTTGCTGCTGCTAGTGACTGCGTAATGAGGTAGATACCACATTCTAGGACCAGATTTGGAAGTTTCTTCATCTGACAGTTTATGAACATGCCCCTTCGTTATGTAGTCTTCCATAGTAGCACGGTATTTCTCCTCAAGACTAGGATCTCTATGGAACTTTCGTCTCAAACTCTGCAATCTCATTTCTTGCATTCGTTCGGTTATTCGGTAGCTGAACATCACCTCTTCTCTTCAACAGCCTTGTCTCATAGTGATCTTCCTCGTTAAGTCTTGTTGTCTTATATAGGATGTCCACTACTCGCATATCCTCTCTGGACAAGATAAGGTCTCGGCGTTCACAATCCGCATCCCCTTCCGCCTCAGCCTTCAAAGTGCTCTTTGTTCCGAACCTTTCCACTTTCCAAAACTTCTCCACTTGGTCATGTAAATTCTTGTCAGATGTGACAAAGTTTACTGAAATGTCTGTGGGCCATGAATCGTTCCAGTTATGACTCAACTCAATGGCCCACGCAGAGCTTGCAATTGGCTATCAGGCTTATCTGACTTTCGAACTTCAAAAACTTCATGTGCGTCATTGATATCCTTTCCAATGAGCACTGCCACCTTTCTCAGCTTCACGTCAGGTATTTCAATGTCCGTTAGGTGTGGGTGTGATCTCCTGTCAATATCCCCTGGAAGGCACTTCTCTGCGATATTGAACTTCTCTGATACAAGGCCTTCTTCCGCAGTGATGGCTTCTCCTTCTCTACCAGCGGATTGCAACTCGAATTCTATAACTTCAATATCTTCATCTTCTTTTTGCAAGTGGGTGCTAACAGACACCACTTCCTTCCGACTTTTCAGGTCTAGTTCATAAGCAACATCGGAACTGATCATGGTTCCACGTGAGCCATTGTCTAGCAATCCGTAAGTGGTAATGGACTTCCCATCGGACGATGAGATTTTCACTGGTATCACATGGAGAAACATGGTCTTCTTCTTGGTCAGCTCTATTGCGGTTGCGTACTGCACTGTACTCCTAAGTTCAGTAGTGCTTCGATGCTCACCATTCCTTGAGTTTGGTTGATTCTCCGCCGGTTGTTGCTCACGTTCACGGGTTTTGTTGCCTCGGTCAGTGTCTCCAATGTCTCTTCTTGGGGGGTTATGAAGAAACCTGTGGTGTCGTTTACCACTTCCACATGGACAGAACTTTTGCGATTCACAGCTGCCTCTACGATTTCCTGGTCTCATAAAAACGTGACACAACCTATGGCGTTTCACAATATCCCAGCGGGTTTGCAGATCTTTGTTTTGGAAGTCGAGGCATGAGGCCAGTTTATGTGAACCTGAGCAACACAAACAGCTCTGTACTTCTAGTAAGGGTTTACTCTGTCCATCATCTGTTCCTGGCCTTCTGCCTGGGTCTTTCGCAGAGAAATCAGTAGCAAAGGATGAGGTCTGCCTTGGATTCGGAAGAAATTTAGTTCTGTTGGGTGGTTTTTTCTTGTTTCCTCTTGTCTTCATGGTTGGCATGGCGACTACACCTGCAAATCCTGGGTCATTCTTAATTACAGCCAGTCGTTCGACAAACTTGGTAAGATCTTCCTTGGCTGTGATAAAGGCGTAAAAAGAAATGTAGAGTGCGAGGCCCGTTCTACCGATGAAGGACGCTTACGAGGACTATCTCAGCCTGCGCATCCCTCTACATAGCTCCCTCCTTTTAATACTTGCCATGCGTATGCAAATAAAACAAAGTTTGCTGGTAAAATGAGTTACAAAACGAGAACCACCGACATATCCTATGATGAGATAATTGATTGAACTGTCCAAATACAAACCGTGCCACCCTTCATAGATCATAATATCACAGATACCACGTGAAATACTACTAGAGACCGAATCTTTTCTCTTCATTTCTTTACTGCCACCATGAAAACTGAAATTGATTCACGCCACCGGTCAGTTTCGTTTATTCATTCTCTTCTTAAAATTCCCATAATTCTCTGGAGCACATGATGGCATATAATAGCTTCTGTCAATAACTATGTTTATTCTCGTCTTGAAATTTAATTTTAATTATAATGAAATAAAGTATGGCACTATTAGTGGACCATGCGTATATTGAAGGGTGGTACAATGTGGTCATGAAAGTGAAGTTCTGCACTAACAGCACCTTTGGCTCGAACAATGCATTATTTGAGTCAATTCGCTTGAAAACCACCACCGACCTTCCGTTATTCACCGCAAATTAAGCTTGAAAAAATTTATCGAGATTTAGTTGATAGCGAGAATGTAAACAAAACCGATGCAATCTAAAAGTTCAAATTAATTACTTACAGTTCAGTCAACTCTATGTTGTTATTAAAAACTTCAGACGACAGTCCTTCAATCTGATTGTCATATAAGTGCCTGTGGAAAGGATTTTCCCCGGACTTAAGGTCTGTTTTTAATGATAAAACTAGTTTTCCAGAGTCAGTAAGTTTCGAAAATAGCAATAGTTAAGGTCATTTCTTAGAATGTAAACCAGTTTTCCAGTGTCAATCGCGGCCTCGTGGGTCCACAACATTTTGACCACTGTGATGACGAATATTGTTGTGGATAAGAATACAGACCACGAGAAACCAGTGTCGATTTGTTAACTTTTCAGTTCTTCACTGTCACTCAATTGTGTTAATTCCGTCGTCTTTTGTAGCTGCTATCAGCATTGCTGACGTAATATACTCAGTAAAAACGTGATGTTGTAAATCAGTTTTCTCGTGGCTACTGTTTTTTTCTTACCTTAAACGTTTGTCATTTTTAGCCATAAAGTTTTGTAGTGACGTCATAAGGCTCTTTTGCAGATATCAAAAGGAATTAAAGGGTGAAAAAGGGGTAAGGGGAGGGGAGGGACTGGGACTGAGTGTTGAGACACTTGCAATAGTTTATATAAGAGGACGACTTTTCACTTTCAGTGACTGCAGCTTTGCTAGTTGAGAAAATACATCGCCTGGCAATTTCTTCATTTTGTTGCCGTTAAACCACCTATACGTTTTTAAAACTTTGTTTTACCAATGGGTGGAAATGTATCAATCCTTTTGTTGTTCGATTGTAGTACTGGTGTGAAAAGAAATGCTCTGTTCTGAGAGGGAATGGGAACCATTATGACCTGCCTCTTATACCTCTCCTTTTCCTCCTGGTTACGGTTATGCAAATAAAAAAAAGGTAGCGTGTGAAGGGAAAGTAGGATCTACAAAACGAGGAACAACGACACATGCTACGATATGATTATTTGTCGCTGGAGACTCCATATGGTAGATCTGCCATCTGAATATTATTTAAGAACCTACCTAAATGACATACCCTATAAACCTATGAATGTAAATTAGATAAATAAATAAGTAAACAAATCGGAGTCACGACGCTGACTTTCATGAAAACCGTCCAAAAATGTGAGAAAACAATCAGAGAGCCCGAAACTGAATGAACGGCGGCCAGAAGAGCTGGAATTATTTAAAATTTATCATTGAATGAACGCAATGTTTCCGAAAGCCCAAACAGAAATTGTATGAAAAACTGAAGAGAAATGGGATATGCAAGATGATGGCACAAAATATTAAATGTTACTGAAGAGTTAAAACAAATTCGGACGGAGAAAATGTGGAATTTGTGGCAAGAATATTTGTCTAGCAACTGTGTTCTGTACGGAACTTTTCTAAAGTTTGCAAGCCTAGGAAGCAGTTTCAATATTTTCCAGTGCTTAAAGGCCCATTTCCATCAAAGATCCTTTGCAGTCGTTTGTTTTTGTTTTGGAATCGCGCTATTGTTAAATGAGGAACTCTGATAGTCATTCACAAACACTGTTAAAAGAAGAAAAAAGATTTGGTGAAGAACACAGTAAACAAATTTGCAGCTAAATATTTGAGATAGAAAAATTATAAATCGAGTCTGTGTATAAAACTTGTACAAAGCTTACTTGGTGTTCAAGGAAATTGTTCGGCTTCAACACTAAATAAAACATAAACAAATAACCAATATTGGCCAAAACGGATTTACTTTACGCATTTCAATTATAGAATAATGTCTTATACAAATGAGATCGCTTACATACATATCTCAGGATCTCAAGTAAAAATCAGTCAAATAATTATTCTCACCTCGAAAAAATCTCCCCTGAGTCTCTAGTTCCATCGTAGGAACAATGCAATAACATTTCTGCAAAAGCACTGTCTGTAGTGTTACCGAAACCCATNCTCTAGACCGCTTCTTCGGCGGCATCAACTTTTCAAATGACGTTTTTCACCGTCATACATGTAAGAATTAAAAACTATTTACTGATATGGATACTACGATAGTTTGTTGTTCGCACATGATTCAAGATGGAACTTTGAAAGCCCTAATTAGTAAGATGGAAGAGGATATCAAAGCGATTCCGCAACTACGAGGAAAATAGCGTATTTTTCATATATGAAAAATGATCCGGGCGCGCAAGGCATCTCGGTTGGAGATGGGCCTTTAAAGTCAATTGTAGAAATTTTAGAGGTGAAATTTATTTCGATCGTAAGAATTAACTTGAATTCTTTAATGATCCATTAGACCACACCATGAATAAAGCAGCCGAATTGAAAGACAACAACATTCAGCCGCACACACTGATTCAAACGCCATTCAGTTTTTTTCACTCGCGGTACCCTATTATCCTTGTCTGACCAAATTGTTCCTGTTGTCTCTGCCTAAATTAAGTCTTCATGGAGTCTTCTTTAAAATTAACAGAAACTGCTTAAAAAACCCGTCAAATTAAAGCTGAAATTGCGGACAATAAACGGACCTATAGTAGTTTTCGTTTTCATGTAAATAAGATTTTTGATAATGTTTTAATGAAAATCCTGTTATACTGTCA